GACACCTAGATGTAAAATCTAATATAAAATATTTTCCTACCCTCCTCTCAGTTACTTTACAAAATTTTAGAAATTTCATCTTTTTCTTTCACGTATTTCGTAACTTTTACTCCTGCTAGCCACCATGGAGTTATCTGTTCTACAATGACAGCAGGAAGATCACTCACTAGAGAACGATATCAAATTCCTTGTGGCTGGCAGAAGTATAAATGCATGTATGTCGGTGTGGCAATACGTAGCATTACCCAGTGCAGGACCAGGTGTGAGAGCGCGCAGCATTACCCAGTGTAAGAACCCAGTGCAGGACCAGGTGTGAGAGCGCGGAGCATTACCAAGTGTAAGAACCCAGTGCAGGACCAGGTGTGAGAGCGTGGAGCATTACCCAGTGTAAGAACCCAGTGCAGGACCAGGTGTGAGAGCGTGGAGCATTACCCAGTGCAAGAACACAGTGCAGGAGCAGGTGTGAGAGAGCAGAGCATTACCCAGAGTAAGAATGCTGAGCAGGACCCAATGTAAGAACGAGGTGCAGGACCAGGTGTGAGAGCGCGGAGTATTATACAGTGTAACAATGCGGAAAAAGGGCCAGTGTTAGAATGGTGATCAGGACTCAATATAAGAGCATGGAGTAGGACCCAGTGTGGGAACACGAAGCAGGACCAATAAGAGGGTGCAGAGCAGGACCCAATATTAGAGTGCCGATTTAGACCCGGTGTGGAAATGTGGAGTAGGACCCAATAGCGCAGAGCAGGAACCAGTGAGAGCCTGCAGAGCAGGGCCCGCTGTGAGAGGGTGGAGCAAGGCCCGGTGTGAGAGGGCGGGGCATGACCTGTCGTGAAAGGGTGGAGCAGGGCCCGTTGTGGGAACGCAGATAGGGACCTGTTCATTTTAAGCTCCCAAATATACTGCTCTTCTGACTGTCCAGACCTTACTGAAGTGGTCTGGCTACACTGTCCCTATTGCACTTAGTTCCAGAAAAATTGCGTTTACATTGCAGCACTAAGTTTGCCTCCAGTGGCTGTCTACCAGACAGCCACTGGAGGCGCTTCCTGGATTACAAGGGACCCTTGATCCAGTATCTGATGCTGGGCGTCAGCTGTTTCCCCATAGGAGAGCATTCGTGCCTGCTCGTCACGGGGCAGAGGTGGAGCTGCAACACAGCACCGAGGGACATTGGTTCTGAGAGCAGGTAAGTGAATAAAAGGTTTTTAACCCTTTATTCACTGACTGGGGGAGGCAGAGGCAGCTCTAGTGCCACGAATACAATAGTAGTGTAATATCCCTTTAACTGGGATAATGTAAAGTAATAATTTTTAACATGTTGAATGCAGCTATTGCACACAAACGGCTGCCACTAATGCTACATATTGTCACGTGTTGATGTTCTGTGGCCCTGAGAAAAGATAATGTTAACTGACTTCCTGAAAAAGGGAAAACATATTTGGTTTGTTACACAGAATTTGTATTAAGTTGATGTTTTTTTTTTAATATCCTTCAGATTGTCTGCTGTTCTGGTGTTTCTCTTAGCAGTTATCGTGACACTGATTCTCGTATTCTTCCCACGAGCGAGTGAAACAGCCGCCACATTGAAAGAAATTCAGGTACTAAAATTCAGCTTAAATCCAGCAACCAAATCTAATGACAGATTTCAAACTCAGTTTCTGGGCCTTTGCAGTTTGAAGATGTGAGGATGAAGTTTATATGTGTCACACTCTGTGAAAATAAGACATAAGAAATAGAGCTGTTTTAATGTAACTGTGGCTACTTGTGAGATTTTTTTTTTGTGCTGGGTATAAATTCACCACACATTAGCAGACGTGGTCTGAAACCCTTTTCGGTATCATATCCAATCTGGGTTTTTCTATGACTGTTCCCACATTACGTGTTACCGTGGTTACTCTGTGCTGATACATGAATCCGGCATTGCATTTACATATTCTTTATTTCAAGTGCTTCTGTATGAATAATTTACGGGCAATGCGAATTAATAATAAACATGTTGAAACCCAGTGATGAGAATAAATCTTGCTGGATATTTGGATAAATGACACTAAACATATTTATCTTTGTGCCAAACCTTGTGTATAAACTGTTTAACCATCTATATAGTTATACAGTCATGTAGAAATTCAATAAACCTCTTTCCTGTGAGCAGATTTACCCCGATCTGTTCCCACTTCAAGATTTATAAAACAAATTGTCTTTCAGTCTCGGCAAGCAGAGAGTTTTATGTGATGTTATTACAGTATTGTATTTTATAGCGTTCATTTTACAGGGTGCGCTCGTTTTACATTGCTCCGTGCCTTCCTTTTAATACATTAATCTAGCCTAAGAAGGAATTTAAAATCTAGTGGTTTTAAACCAAATAACTGTCACAACTTTACTCAGATTTATGTGAACTTTCCTGTTTACAGTCAGAATTCCAAATTCAGTCATTTTGTTTGCAATAACTGTACTCTGTGGGCCTCACTAGTGTGTTGTTTAGTTTCTGGTCTTTTTTTTCTGTAAGAACATATCTCATTTTATTCGGAGCTAACTTGTCCGGGATAGCCATTAGTTGGAAAAGACAAACCGTTTCCATGACCCGTTCTTCTTGAAATCCTGATCTATAAAACGGGGAAATATAACAAACGGCTGCGCTTGTCAGGTCAGGAGAATCTGAGGACTAATTAAAGGATTTGTGGTCTTCGCCCCCCCGGCAGCATTTCTCGCTGGGCTATCCATAATACATGACTCAGGTTTTATGCTCTGAAGGCTTGCTAATTGACTAATTAAAACGCCAAGCATGGTGTAGGAGCAAACATGGAGTCCGCTAGAGACTAGTTTTGTGCAGAAGCCAAGGTCAGGCTTAATGGAATCTCATAAAACTGACCTTTGCTGTAGGCATTGTGTTTGTCCGTTCCCACGAGCCATGCTAAGCACTTCACAGCCCTGTCCTCGGCTCAGAGATATCTCTGGCTATCACCTTCTCCTGTTTTCACAATTGTTTCATGTCTGGCTCCTTAAAGAATATAAGTTTTATTTGGCTGCCTATCCTTTTATTAAGGAAAAGGCCGCAGTTGCTACTTCTTTCAGCACAGTGTAATTGGTGCTGAATTTCCCCCAGGTTTGACATTTGGTGCCATGACGTCACAAACATTGGTAGGGACACTGCCAAAGAACCATTTTGGAGGGATGGATTCATGGCTCCAGAAATATCCTTGGGTGGGTAGGGGTGGTGGTGGGTGCTGTATCAAAAACAAAATATAACCAAAAAATATCCTTGGGTGGGTGGGGGAGCGTAGGTTCAGAAACATGAGAAGTGCTCGTTCTCATATAATAGAACTAGTGCAGGTGAGCAATATGTAATACTTTTCAAGTAAATGGCTCAAAGCTCCCAGTCAGAGGTACAAAGAATATCATTCTTAAAGGAAAACTCCAGGCTGGTAATGCATTCTGGGATTGAACATTGAGTGTTGTGAGATATGACCTTGATTGGTTAGTGAATAGTACATTTGTACTTCAATAAACTATATTTTTAACATTTTATTTTATTGTCCCTTTTCTCTGATTCAGATTATTGACACCTTTTTCATTGGGCGCTATTTCCTGATTTCCATTATGAGTCTGATCTTCCTCGGCAGCACTTTCTTGGCGCTTGTTTACCACATTCTGGAGCCAGTCTACGCTAAACCTCTTCGGTTACGTTAACTCTCACATCAGTCAGAGAACTCAAGGGCCATAAAGGCATATTTAAATTATGTAATAACAATATTTTGATTGGAAAAGTTTGCAGCCAGTAAACCATATTATGCAGCAAAAGTTCCTATGATATTTTAATCAACTTCGCATTAGTATTTTTAGGGGAATGGGACCTAAGATGTTCAGTTTTTTTTACACATCAAAATAAATGGGTTTTTATTTACAAATATATTATTGAATCATTCATCATTTTGTATCATACATCTAGTGACTGATCTGTCTCCAGATAGCTACTTAACTGTAATGTCATCAAACCAACTGGCTGGCTATCTGTGATGTAATCAAACTAATTATCTGGTTATCTGTGATGTCATCCAACCAATTGGCTGGCTATGTGAGATGTCATCCAGCCAATTGGCTGATTATCTGAGATGACCTTTGTTAAATGGTCGATTTGTGATTTGGTTTTCACAGACAGTTGTTGTATGTTCTGGATACAGACCGAGGGTAACATGATGTTCTAGGTCCTCAAGAAACATTTATCTGTCACATACAGCCTGCAGTAATCACGGTTAAACCCATCATCAGACTGTGTTAATCACAGGTGATCAGCCCCGGGTCATATTATGTAAAAGATATTAATTTAACTTCTATGAAACAGAAAATGCTCTTACTCCTGTTGACTTCCTTACATGTTGCGTGTTTGGAAGATGTGAAATATAGACTCTACTCACTAAGCTTCTTAATGGAAAGATGTCTTGACCTTGAATGCACCAGGCCTTCCCAAACCATTGGCCTGAGGAGAGAGCATCAAGCCAGAAGGAAAATGTCTACTGACTACCACAGTTCACCCACAACAGAGATATTACTATGTATTGTGAAAAAAAAAAAAATCTAATTTGATTGGGAATTATTAATCATTTCCTAGAAATATGCAGTTCTTTTTATTTGTCATTTTAAGTTGCATATCTGCATTTTTTTTTTTTTTAATCAGTCTCCCAGGACAAGTCATTAATTTCTGCTTCCGACCTCTTTCTAGAAACCAGGTATCAGACCACGGATTTCATGGTAAATAGCATGTGGCCACTCGTATAATTAAGATGAAATACATTTTGAATATAAAGTTCTATTCAGGGAATAGCGCCACAAAAACCAATAAAAAGATATGATAAAACCAATGATAGATTAAAAAATGATGAGGATATCACACCACAATAGACTGTAGGGTAATTAAATTAAATTACAGTACTGTACTTATATATACAAATAAGGTAAGATATATATATATATATATATATATATATAATAGTCCCAATAAAATGGGCAGATAGAAAACCAGGTCCACTTGCAGAAACTTGAGTTGACGTGGGTCTATACAGTTTGTAGATCTGGAAGTGGTCCGTTTCTCTTGTTGCTCAGTGGTCTTTTCTGATGAAAGCAACTTTTGCATCTCATTTGGAAACCAAGGACCCAGAGTCTGGAGGAAGATTGGAGAGGCACACACTGCAAGATGCTTGAAGTCCAGTGTGAAGTTTCCATAGTGTGTGTTGATTTGGGGAGCCATGTCATCTGCTGGTGTTGGTCCACTGTGCTTCATTAAGTCCAGGGTCAACGCAGCTGTCTACCAGGAGATTTTGGAGCACTTCATGCTTCCTTCCGCAGACGAGCTTTATGGGGATGCTGACTTCATTTTCCAGCTGGACTTGGCACCTGCCCACACTGCCAAAAGCACCAAAGCATGGTTCAATGACCATGGGATTACTGTGCTTGATTGGCCAGCAAACTCACCTGACCAATGCCCCATAGAACATCTATGGGGGATTGCCAAGAGAAAGATGAGAGACATGAGACCGAACAATGCAGAAGAGCTGAAGGCCGCTATTGAAGCATCCTGGTCTTCCATAACACCTCAGCAGTGCCACAGGCTGTTAGTTTCCATGCCACGCCGCATTGAGGCAGTAATTCCTGCAAAAGGGGCCCAAACCAAGTACTGAGTCCATATGCATGCTTATACTTTTCAGAGGTCCAATATTGTTCTACGTACACTCCTTGTTTTATTGATTGCATGTAATATTCTAATTTACTGAGATTGTGGATTTAGGGTTTTCATGAGCTGTAAGCCGTAAATCATCGCACTTATGACAAATCACGACTTGAACTATCTTGCTTTTCCTATAATGCGTCTATCTCATATATTAGTTTCCCCTTTTACGTTGCATTACTGAAATAAATGGACTTTTGCACGATATTCTAATTTTTCGAGTATCACCTGTATAACATAGCCTTACTATATGGGGCATGTTTGCTGTCAATGTCTATGTTGAATCACGCTGAATATTAGAGGAACATTATCTGCTAGATACCCCAATATATATATATATATATATATATATATATATATATATATATATATATAAAGAAAGGAGAAGTGCACAGATCATAGAAAGTGATGTAATGGGATACTGCAGAGGAGAAAGGCTGAAATAAGTAGCTATTTATGCTCCCTGTAAAGATGAAATTGAGCCACGGAGGTGACCCGGATTACAGGGTGAGCACGGCGCATGCACAGATTTTATACTTCAAATGCTCACTAATCGTAAGTTTTATAATTGGTAATGGTTTTTAAGGCCATCTTGAGTTTGCTATCGACCTGCTTTGAACAACCATGAAAGATTATCTACCCGGGAACATGTGGCCAAATTTCAGATTGTTTCAGAGCAAGAGATGTTCATGGAATGTTACATAATCCAATATGGCTGCTGAACTATAGGACCAATTAACTTTTCTTGAATAAATCGGAATCTAGGCCAGATGCAGACCTGTGACATGGAGATGAAGAGTGTTGAATATTGTGCAATTCTGGATGCCAAAACAAAGATGTCTGCCAGACCATGTGACTGTGACATTTTTGCTCCTATGGAGCCCATAGGTTTCCATCATTGCCCCGAGTTTCAAGCAGTCTTGGTTAACAGTTTTTCAAAGGTGTTTTAAAAGCGACAAAATAAGAAAAATAATATTAATAATCTGACAAAAGGTACAGGTTATACAGAAACTTTTTTTCTTGCTCTAACTGATTATATCAGATTATTGCCTTATACCACAATTACTATCTATTTATCACCCATTGCACAGCGCTACGGAATCTGATGGCGCTATATAAATAATAATAATTATATAATTAACAATATATCTGCCAATAGATATCGGAAGATATATTGATACGCGCCAGCTAGCAGATCTTAAGCATCGTGGATCGTGATGTACCCAAACACAAACAATGCACTAAACATGTTTCTGATTAAGTAGTAAAATAAGATAACCACGCACAGAAATTAAGGCCTCAATTTAAAATTTTTGGGTAAACTTTCCAAATTTTATATCTACAAATATTCCTAATTTAATGGTCACTTCTGCAGATAAACCATTTGGAAAGTGTAAATCTTACAGATCTAAAGAATACATTCAGCTGATGAAAATGATAAATCATATCAAAGTCTAACCTGTGGCTCTGTCATGATTCATGTTATCACAGTGTTGTCCATTCAGCACGTTTGAACAACAGAGAGACAAATCAAAGTGTTTTATAAAAAAAAAAAAAAAGATCATTCTGATTGTAACACAATCTTATTTACAGCGATGGCAAACAAACAATGTACTGAGGTAGTCGGATCAGCTGAAATTAGAAATATTGAACTTTGGAGTATTTTTCTGTGGTTTCCACTCGGACAATTTGTCATTACTTTGGATTTCAATTTGGAGAGAGTATCGGAAATCCACATCAAGTCCAAAGTATTCCAAGATACATTTCAAGACATGCTTTATTTTGGCTGCAATGTTGGAATAAAAAAAAAGGTAGAAAATAAGATTAATGAACGTGTGCGGAGAACTGTTCTTTTTGGACTCAACACAAAGTTGCATAGCGCAACCATCCAACTGGCAGTCTGTTAATACTATAACTACCGAGGGCCAGAGTGACTGATCTAAAGCGCACAATTTGGAAACCAAGTTTGTAACTATTTAAAGAATATCTAGCACTGACTTCAGAAGGTAACTAATCATCATTGCGGCCTTCACCGTAAATCAGTTTGTGGCACAGCATTCAGGATTTGGCACAGTGATTAATATTCTGTTTTATGTCCATCAAGTTGTCTAATTTAGAATGGGTCATTACAATCATTATTATATGCATCTAAATACAATGAATATATATATATATATATATATATATATATACACACACACTATAGATAGAGTTAAACAACCACTGCTAGTACATGCACAATCGCACATTACCGATATGTTTTATGCAAGTGTGTGAAATGGTCACAGTTACGGACTGTGCAAATGGAGATAAGTTATAAAGTATAAAAATTGTGTATTCATTTATTCTGCAGAATCAGACACTTTTTAAACACATTAGGGGTTGTACAACTTCATATTTAGAATGTTTAATGCTCTCATGGTTAATAAATAACTGCACGTAAATGTACAAAAGACATCTAGAAAACGTTTGTATGGTATCTCCACGCCAAACAGACAATGTAAAATATCTAACAGAAATACACATAAAAGGAAAAATCACAATACAGATAAATAATTATATCTTAGGTTCCAGTAGAATTTAAAGAAAATCAACAGACATGCTCTATTAAATAATAAACAAAATACATAGCTATTATTAACTTCGTGCTAATTAACGTTTACTTATTATGCAATAGTATCAGGAGCTCAGTTTCAAATTTAGAAAATGAACAAGGGATATCAGTTACACAAATCCTACCTGGTTTACATTTTCTAGATAAGATTATCCTGATGATTTTTCTAGACACAAACTGCCATTGGTTCATGAAATAGGGGCCGATAACGGTGGTTTGTAAGAAGAAATATGTTCTGAAAGTGTTCCGATGGAATTTGCCAGTAATTTGGCTGATTTGGACAATGAGCAGATGAGGAATGGCTTCCCACCTCTGTAGGAAATAGATGTCTATGATATAACCTTCCAAACTCCAAGAAATAACAATAATTCTAGTAATTATCTGCAGAACGTTTATCCTGGCATTGACTGAATAATCCAGACTTTGTGTTCTCATTGTGTTGAACTCGCTAGACTCACTCGAGTTCTGCTGCCGTATCCTGATTGTATTGTTACTGAAGCTTTCTGGAAATAAACCCTTCCTGAATCTCTCATGTCTGAAACAGTCGGAATGGTGGTTTTTAATTTTCCCTCTTTCCTAAATAACATAACGGTGATGATACGGGTTCCCGTGCAGACAGACATCACGGTTCACACGGGAGGAATATAAAATGTGTGCCTGCGAGATGGAGGATTGTGGAGAGTTGACAAGAACGTTGCACGTTTTAGGCCAAAATAGATATTAGATAATGTTTAACAGTTTAGGGTTTTGCATAAAATTTGTTTTAGAATGATCCCATATCGCACACTGGACATATCACCCGATCAGCAGCATCTGGGGCGTTAGTTGGTCATTTCTGGATCAGTATTAATATTCGGTGGCAGCTTAGGCCTGAATGGTAAGACCAACAAGAATAGCAAATTCCAGCAATTAGTTACAATATCTAAATACATAGCAGCGTGTTTAGAGGGCCGGGATTTAAAGTGTTACAGAACAGAGACAGAACCTAGAATCGACTCACGCATAAAACAGAAGCCTTAACTAACTAGCTTTCTTAAACAGAAATAACTTACCAGCCTGATTAACCTGAAGTCCTAACTAACCAGTCTGGTTATTAAGCAGAAATACTAACTAACCAGCCTAGTAAAAAAAAAACTAAAATCCTAATTTACCAGCCAAGTTAAATCTAAATCCTAATTTATCAGACTGGTTAACAGAAGTACTCACTCACCAGCCTGGTTACCGCAAATCCTAATTTACCAGCCAAGTTAAATCTAAATCCTAATTTATCAGCCTGGTTAAATCTAAATCCTAACTTACCAGCCTGGTTAACCTGAAATACTAATTTATCAGCCTGGTTAACCTGCAATGCTCACTTACCAGCCTGGTTAACCTGCAATGCTCACTTACCAGCTTGTTTAACCACAAATACTAATTTACCAGCCTGGCTAACCTGCAATGCTCACTTACCAGCTTGTTTAACCACAAATACTAATTTACCAGCCTGGTTAGCCTGAAATACTAATTTATCCGCCTGGTTAACCTGCAATTCTCACTTACCAGCCTGGTTAACCTGCAATGCTCACTTACCAGCTTGTTTAACCACAAATACTAATTTACCAGCCTGGTTAGCCTGAAATACTAATTTATCCGCCTGGTTAGCCTGCAGTGCTCACTTACCAGCCTGGTTTACCTGCAATGCTCACTTACCAGCCTGTTTAACCACAAATACTCACTTACCAGCCTGGTTAACCTGAAATACTAATTTATCAGCCTGGTTAACCTGCAATGCTCACTTACCAGCCTGTTTTACCACAAATACTAATTTACCAGCCCAGCTTTTAACAAAACAGTACAGGGAAATAATTATTTTAATAAATAAATCTTAACTATGACTAAGTACCTAGTTCTGCCAGTTTCTGCTGTTGCTTATTGTATGAATACATTGTGTAGCTGTGGTTTGTCAGCAACAATTACACAATACAGATTTTCACAAGCACCATTCTTCGTAGTATATAACCAGAGACCCCTGCTGTACCCCCAAATCCCAGCGGTGCCAGGGCACGGGGTATGCTCAGCTCCCACACTGAGCCCAGCTTCTAACAGAAGCTCCAAAGTCTGGTGACTGGCAGAAAATGTATGTAGATCAAATCAGAGTATCTTTTTCTAATATTATTATCGAACCAATTCTTTAATCGCTTATTAGTGTTTTGATGCAGGGAATAGTACGAATTTAGGGTTAGTTATGGGAGTTGATATAGATCCAATATGGATCTTTGTTATATTCAAGGGAGCCCAAATTGTTATTTCAAGTGCACTTGGAGGAGCGTGTATTCAGATACCAGACATGTGTTGGTAATCAAAATAAGCCTCTGTCATTTATTTTGTCAGTTGTGTTTTTATACATTAAAAAGTAAGTGCTTACGTGCAAATACTCATAGGACAGTAGTAGGAAGGGAGTGAAAGGGTAAAGGGAGTACAGATAAGACATAGGTATGAACGTCATGTACATACAACAAATAAGTTCAGAGAAAGAACAGACTGATTTAGGAGAGACAGCTTGGGCTATCTGCTCCCGGAACTAGACATATATGGTCTTAAGCGTTGTTTTAAGCATTAAGCATTTCCTGAGTCCAAATTAGCCAATTTTAATATAGGCTATCTAATATGACACCTACAAGCTTGAACACTGGTATCAAGGTAAATTATTTCACCGCGTCCACCATGCAATGCGTATAGAATATGGGATATACAAATTCCAAGGCCTTTCACTGCTCTGAGCTACTTCATACAGTATAGAGGCTGCTACCACGGATTATGTTACCTAAATGACATGTTCCTGGAATTAATCAATTTCAGTGATAAAGCATTGTTACACTCCTCACTAGTGATGTCCCGAACGGTTCGCCACGGTTTGCCGTGGACTCCAGTCAGCAGACACATTCCAGCCAATTAGCAGCAGACCCTCCCTCCCAGACCGTCCCACGTCCTGGACAGCATCCATTTTGAAGCTGCATTCTTAGTGAGCTGTCTAGGAGGTGGGAGGGTCTGGGGTGGAGGGTCTGCTGCTGATTGGCTGGAATGTGTCTGCTGACTGGAGTCCGTGGCAAACCGTTCGCGAACCGTTCGGGACATCACTACTCCTCACTGATGGCAGAAGTGTATGTGGATATTTTTTTTTTTTTTCTTTTAATTATCAGTCAGTTCTCCCACGTAAAACCCCAAATTGTTTGTCATGTAATACAATATATGTTACCACGGAAATGGTTTACATTTTTTTCAAATAGTCATTAGATCGGCACATAAACCCTACAAGCTAAAGATTACATGCAAAATTTTAGGAAGCAAACAAATAACTATTAAAAAAAAAAAAAAAAAGATTTTATTTTGTGCCGGTTGTAATTATTTGTTATACAATTTACTTATTTTTTTTAAATTTGTTTCCAAATGTTAGAATAAATAGTGTATGGATTGTCCACAAGCCTAGTCCACGTTACACAGTTATTCGGGGGGGAGGAATCAGCATTTTGTATCATTCATTTTATTTGTCAACATCTAAAAATGTTTTTATAAATCAAATTGTGCTTAAATCAGACAAATCCCCCCCCAAGAGTAAGGAAAACGAAAACAGCAAAAAACCCAATAATGTCTATTAAATCATAATCAGTTTCAAGCAAACCGAGGACTCAAAAAAAAATAAAAATCAACATTTAAAAACTATTTTGTAATATTTAGCATTGGAACAAAATCGAAAATTTGCCTTTTAGAAAGCATTTTATTAATAAGAAAGTTCGAAAAATAATCAAGCGATTGTAAGAATTGTATGAACATAATGTGGCATTTTTACACTATATAATGGAGCACGATGGTTATACTAAATATAAATATACATTAAATGACCGGTTATATTGATAGAATAAACATTATTGATTAGAATAGTTCTGTGATGTTTGTTCGATCTGAAAGGACAAAAACTTGACAAAGTGATAACCTTGTGAGTGTGGGACATTTGAAAAATGTCCATATTTAATCGTTAGTTTTATCCAAATCCCTGTAAAATAGACACTTTTTCAGCAGTCACTAAGACACAGATTCTCAACTAAAATGAACATCCAAACATTACTCTGTTTTTTTCAAATCAAGCGAGAGGAAGGTGTTGTTTGATTGCTTTTTAACCTAGTAATTTATGAGGTCTACTCATAGAGAAGATGTCATTTAGTCACAATTTATCTGCCGTATCAGGTAACAAAGAAGACAACATTTTATTCAAACCGGAATTGAAAAAGACATGAGGTTCAGAATAAAACAGCGATTTCACGTGCAGAGACGTATTAGAGAAATCCATCATTAAAGCAATTAATGTCATTTCACTTCGAGAAACTTGCAACATCTGAAAGAAGCAGAATAAAAACACCATAAAGCATAAAATATCGACTTTATAACCAGGGAGGTTCCGTTTAGCCTTTGCTAGTTTTCAAATGTCCTGGGGATAATTGTTATTATCTGGTAACATAAAGGGGCACTACCACCAAAATGTTTTATCATACCCCGGAGACGTATTAATTAGACGTTCTCCCCTCCCCTGGGGAAATTTCACTGCTAAATTAATGAATCCCAGAATTCAGATTCATTAATGTTAAATATTTCTATTAAAGGTGCGTTGGTATGTTTATATCACCAGACATTTTATTTTTGTATATGAACTCTTCCTGTGCCTTGCCCCCACTCTGGCATTAATGGGTTACATTACACTAACTGTAAAGTTGAAAATGTTGTTTTATTTTAGTCTTTCGGAGGATCAGGTTGGGATATTTGCAGCGTTAGCCGAATCTGCCAAGAGCTGTTATTCTAACCTCTTTAAGCATTGAACATTCTAATCCCTATTTAATGACTCCACCGACTTCCCTAGTATTCCCCAAAATACTGAGTCCAAGGGCCGTGCCCCTGCTGTTTTAAGGCACAGAGCTGGCAGAAGAAAGGAGGCTTTAAATGCAACATCCATTACGTGTTTAAGAAAACAGGTTTAAAGCCAGTAAATGCAGAACCCAGAGAAAGGTCAACTCAGCCTAAATTAATCATAGACTCGGTTCTAGCGATCACATTGTGAGCTGCGACTCTGCCAATCCAACCAGCAGACTCCAAGACACATACTTACACAACTATAGCGATTCTGTACTGGACCTCAGCTTGCCTGATCTGGACACAATCTCAGCCGCTCTCTGCTGGACCTGCAGAGGGAAACCTGATTTATGATAAATGCCAATCGAATGGTCAATGATCCCTCCAAAAGATACTTACACCCCAATATTGCTATAGCGAGAACCCTCATTATTCAGACAGTTACACCCCAATATTGCTATAAAGGCAACGCTCATTATTCAGATAGTTACACCCCAATATTGCTATAAAGGGAACGCTCATTATTCAGATAGTTACACCCCATTATTGCTATAAAGGGAACGCTCATTATTCAGATAGTTACACCCCAATATTGCTATAAAGGGAACGCTCATTATTCAGATAGTTACACCCTAATATTGCTATAAAGGGAACGCTCATTATTCAGATAGTTACACCCTAATATTGCTATAAAGGGAACGCTCATTATTCAGATAGTTACACCCCAATATTGCTATAAAGAGAACCCTCTGAGTCTTTTAGAAGTCAGCAATTACTCCATCACCATCGCCCTTCTAAGGATATTTTTTGCCGACTGCGTTGAAAGGTTGTTCGGCTCCTCCCCTTCGTCCTGTGTGATCTCATGCCGTAGAATGGTTTAAGTTTGCCAACACAGGGTGGTTTCACCAGGAGATTAAAGACTGAGGTTATTTCATGCTGACGGTATGCGCAGGTGTCTGGTGACTTCACGCTGTTGAAACGTGTCGTGTTAACAGAGAAAGGGAAAAACTGGCCCCAGAACAAGGGGATTCTGTCCCTGGAAAAAGTTTTACGCCACCCTGTGTATCTGTCATCGTTCCCAGTGATGGCAAATATCAGGCTGCACTTCGCAGCGAATTTACGGATTAAAGCGATTCAGACGTTTGTGATAAGTCCAATTTCTCTGCCTCACTCCCCCCTTATTTGATTGCGATTTCCTGTCCTAATGTGTCTTATATCCCACCTCATATAGACTGTAAGCTCGTTTAAGCAGGGTCCTCTTCAACCTATCGTTCCTGTAAGTTTTTTTCTTGTAATTGTCCTATTTATAGTTAATTCCCCCCTCTAATAATATTGTAAAGCGCTACGGAATCTGTTGGCGCTATATAAATGGCAATAATAATTATAATACTAATAATACATGATACGAGCACTCTGTCAGATCCAAAGGTGATTTCAGACATTTACTGACACTGAACCGGCCCTGACACCATTCCGACAAATAAAGCTGCACCGATATCTTTCTGGGAGGAAAACTATCGAAATGATCCAAAGCCTATATCAAAAACAGGTTTCATCTCAGAAGTGGATGTTACAATGTATATTGCTGTATTAAGGTGTGGAATAGTGTTACCATTCATTATTTCAGGCGTAGCTCTGCACTGAGATGCCAGGGATAAATTACACGGCGGCCAGGGTTAAATTGCAGCGCGGTACTGCTAGGGTTAAATTGCAGCGCGGCACTGCTAGGGTTAAATTGCAGTGTGGCACTGCTAGGGTTAAGTCTCAGTGCGGCACTGTAAGGGTTAAACCACAGCGCAGTACTGCTAGGGTTAAATTGTAGTGCAGCACTATTAGGGTTAAATTGTAGTGTGGCACTGCTAGGGTTAAATTGTTGCTCCGTCCTCTAACACTGTACTATGGAAAATCCAGATTGTGATTTACGCAGATTTCGATTTTTATAGTAAAGGGAACTGAAATGTAAGATATAAAATCCCACTGTTTGTGTAGAAGTGATGGCGTTTATTGACGGAATGGCCTGTGAGACAGTTTGGCTCCTACCATCACCTAACGGGGTTAAAATGCTTGCATGCTGTTCAGTTTGATTGTTTTCGGAGTCCTATGTTGTCCCTGCAGGACGCCCCACACTGCAGCAGTTAGAAGAAGAAGGTCCAGTCGCTGGCATTGCCCAATACTACGGCAGTCTGACTGTCCATACCACGATGTGTTCTAATCAATTTATTCCAGGCTCAACACACTAATGTTAGAGATATACTCTCATCACTCTGACCCGGACTATCCTCACCATCATCCCTCGCTGAAATTAGCTAAGCCGCAAAACAGCACGGAAATCCCATTACACAAAACCACGGAATATGTTAGACATGATATATTAGCCAGAAAACTGGATTAAAAAAATAAATAAATGAGAGAATGGTGCCATCTGCTGTCAGCTCTGGTATATGCAGGGATTTTACGTGCACTGTACCCATTACTATTATTATTACTGGTATTTATATAGCGCCAGCATATTCTGTTGCGCTTTACAAGGCTATAAGAAGCAATATTTGTAAATCAACTTACTTCAGCCATGGCTTCCTCGATTTGCATCAACTCTTCATAATGATCTCTGGCCTGACGTAACGGCAGAACCATCACCTCTTCTATCTGTGGGAAGAGCTGGGAGATAAAGAAAGAAATGAGTTCACATCTCGAAAAGAAATATATTTTTAGCACAGCTGCAATCAATGCATTCAGACAGAGTCCCTTCGAGCAACACCGAGGTATCCAAGTGTGATACAATGCAAAGCTCCTGTATCTAATGACATTGTTACATTTCAGGGTTACTCACTAAAGCGAGAATTCACGGTGGAAATTTAAGGCCAAAGTAGTCAAACTGAACTTTTATCTATTTTAGTTTTAAACTTGAAATAACTCTATGTTTTCTCTAGAACTCTACAGCGTGAAATATATCTTCAAACTATTCACTCTCAAAAACGGAGCATTAACCTTGCTACAGGTAACACCCCTTTTTAGGGGTCATTGCTCCCCACTACATTGTCCGTATGAGATGCTGGGCGCAGGGGATGCAGAACAAGAAAGATAGAAAGATGAAAGATAGAAAGTGATTTAATTGCCTTTTTTGCATTAGCTGTCCTTTTTGCCAATCATTACACTCATCTGGTGTGAATTACATCCACAATGGCTGAGTATCGCTGCGTACCCTGGGAGCAGAGCTGATGCTCATTCTATTGTGAGTGATTAGTCTGAAGATATCATTTCTCTAATTGTATAAATTGTATTCTAAAGTGACAGTGGATCCTCCAGCCAAATTAAAGTATTTGTTAAAAATTATTAAGGTTGTTCTTTTCACGTATCAATGTGAGTTACTTACTGATTTTAGTTACTGATTGTTGTTTACAAATTTTTTGCACAATGAGGTTTAATCACTAGAAAGCAAATTGTATTAAACTGGAAACTGAATATCAAAACTTGGGCTAAAAGACAAACTCTGATTGGAGCTGGGATTGATTATTTTTCCAAAATCAGTGCTTTTTGCCTCTTTCCTGCAATTTGGTTTCCAATTCCCAGCAGTTGGGTTTGCAGTGAATGAAGCTGGATTGCCCTGAATATCTCCAGTGGTAGCACTACGTTTACATATAATGATAGTTTAGCAGACAGCGCAGTGATACCTCAGTAACAGTTTCAAACATCGGAATTAAGACAAACTTAATGAATCCGATCTGTGCCTTGGATTTGGTTACAGTATCTCTGTCCATGAATGGGGTAACGGGCAGACCCTCCGATTTTTCACGATCACTCTGTACAAAATCAAAAGTGAATACAAAATTAATACATAATATATATCTCACAAATGTATCTGTAAATTGTCAATCTGAACTGGCCTAACATCAATCGAATTCAATGAAACTCCACGGCTGGAATCTTGTCTGTTACGAATCTGGCCAGAAATTATTAAAAGCGTGGCATCGGGACGCAGAAATACTAAGGGGTTATATTGGAAAGTGCTTCGGTGTGAATAATAGTGAATGACTAACACAGCTGGTGTATACACTACTGTAACACAATTATTGCCAGTAATAGGCACTAGTGATCGAGTTATTGTTTAATCATTTTATTGCACAACAATTATAAAAAAAAGTCACACAAAGCCAATGGGAACAATTATAAAAAGTCACACAATGACAATAAATTGAAATATTGAAATTTAGTCTCTTTTTGTTCCCATAGATAAAGTCCATTCAGTTATCTTTCTATGAACCAAACACTAAGCTTTGCAATTGCTGGACAGAATTTCGAGATTATCATCCAAATTAGGCGAACTGGCAATGCATACTTTTCCAGTTTGGATGTTTTAACCCAAAATTTGTAATTCTTTGGTTAATGATTTCCTGAAAAGTCCTGGTTTAGTGAATAAACCCCCTGAAAGGATGAAACAGGACCAAAGGAATCATAAGCAGTGTTGGGAAAAGCATAATTTCTACAGAATGCGGTAAAAATCTCCCGTATCTGTATATTGCTGTGTTTACCAACCTGCATGAAATATTCTTGAAGCAGACAGTCTACCCAGGGCTCCGATATGTTCATGGGACGGACCTCGTTCGAAATGTCGCAACACTTTATAAGCACCGTCTGTAACTGGAAGAGTAAAGACAAGACACACTGCGTCAAAGGAAGCCCATCACTATAGAAGATGTTCCATTCATCGCTGCTGTTGTGGGCAGACATTATTTAATGCTGGAAGATCTGGCAATTCCTTACTGAGGAGGTGGCGGTAGTCTTGGAAATATATCACAAATTGAAAACTCTCAGTAGCAGTTACTGATAAAATAAAGATGGATGCTGAGAGCATGTGATGTTAGCATCCAATCATAATCTGTGTTCTGCAGAGCAGGTACCTGCATCCTGCAGATTATTTAACGGCGATGGTTTGTACATTGTTACAAATATCTTACTCGCTTTTTATAAAAAGCAAAACCGCTGAACTGATTTCAAATGATTTATATGATGCCGACTAATCTAATAGCTGCTACTTTATGAAATACAGAGCGAGCAGTCAGAATGAGAGTGTTAGAGACACACTGAGACAAACTGCGCACTAAACTCGCTAAATAAACTGTAATGGAGGTAAATATGTCATGTTATTATTGTAAAAAAAAAACACAACACGGCATAGAAGCAGATTTAGAAGTTCTGTTATTTAATGTAAAGTGTCCAGGGCAATTTATTCTTGAGTTATGGGCAAACTATACATTTTATGTTAGAAATAACCTTCTGTTACAGTGATCGGCTATTCGGTACTCATACTCACAATTTTCACATGTTCTTCATCACTGAAATCAAAATTAGGGGCAACCTTTTTAAATGAAGCCAAAATGTCCCCGTGTCGCGCCATGTCTGTGGCCAAAATAAGGCGGATAATTGACTGGGAGGGAGAGGGGGGAAGAAGTTGGTTAAATAAACATTAAATAGAAAGGATTACAATACTCAAATACAGATTTTATTTTGCTTTTCAGGTTTAGAAGTAGGGATGCGCATTGGCAAAAGTCGGTTCGGAAACTCGGGTAAGTAAAAATATTTGTCTGCTTCAGCAATTCAGGCCAATGTCGTTCGGTTTGGCACTTCTAACTTCTGAACTTCCGCTATTAGGAACTTCGTAAGCATCCGAATTGCATGGAACGAATGGCACATGTCTAGTAAGTGGTTGTGGTGGCAGTCCTGGCACTGGGAGCCCTACAGATGTGTAAATGGTTGTGGTGGCATTCCCCTATAGATGTGTAAGTGGTTGTGGAGGCAGTCCGGGAACTGGGAGCCCCCTGCCACCACAACCACTTACACATCTCTAGGGCTCCCAGTGCCCAGACTGCCACCACAACCACTTACACATCTATAGAGCTCCCAGTGCCAGGAATTAGTTTATTGGTCAAGATTCCTGTCATCCTTCACATAATTTTCCTTCCCTCTCTCGTTTTGCCACTTTTCAGAAATCAGAAGCACTTCGGAACTTCGGACATTCGTAAGCATCTGAATGTCCGAATTGCACGAAATTCGTCTAAATGCACATTCGGAACGAAACGAATTGCACATGTTTATAAAGAAGTTTAATTCATTTCTTAGAATGACATTTTACAATGGACATATAGCGTGGACTCGCCATGGGCACACACCACGACCAGGAATCGAGTTAAACAGTGACCAAATAATCAGACTGATTTTGTTTGCACAGAGTTCATCTTAAAGAAAAAAGTGAGTGCAAGCAGTAAAACCACTCACAGCTCTTCCATTACTTATGAGCAGTACATGCACTTCTACACAAAGACCTGATGTAAATATAACACAATTCACAAACAGACCCATTTTTTGGGAGATCTTTTTAAAGAGCTTCCAATATCAGTTCTTTTTAATGGTTTAGACAGTGAAGAGGAAGACCCCTTTGGCAAGGAGCCCCATTAGATTCTGGGCGGAACAATCAGTATTGTGGAAGAATCTTTAATTATGGAAGAGGTGCTTAAAGAAATCCCTGATATTGGGGTACTGTGACATAATGGTGGTCTTAACATAACATGGCGATATGGTGGAACTGAATCCATATATTTGTTTGCAGAGATAGGTGATTTTAAGTAGCTTTATCAAATTTAAAACTGTATTTTTGTTTTTGCGTGTGCGCTGTTCCTTTAACTGTATTTTGTACAGAACCCATACCTGTCTGATCTGTTTGAAGAGATTGTGACTGATATTGGAGAAGATATTGTTTTCTGGCTGAGCGAGGATCTGAAATGCCACAGCACAGTGGTGATTTTCCAGCGGGGAAATATCGTTGTATCTGATTGCCAGCTCCGTGTGGGCATTGATTTGATATCTACAGTTTAAGCATTCAGGGAGAAAGATATCAGAAAACATCTTCCTGACACGGAGGCTGACACAAGCTTAGAATAATGAGATGATTTGTGGAAATAAATGAAATCACCGGGAATACTCCTAGATGTATCTCATTTTACAACTTTGCTCACGTTTCTTTGAGCATCACTTAGATATATCTCGGCAATGTCCGTAAAGTAGCTTGTAGTAAATCAATGCTGCCGAAATGATGACTCAATGTGACCCCTATGGCTTCTCTCTGGACAGATCCATTGGCAAGGCTTAAGGCCACCCTCGACGATCTTGCCAACCATTCTGGGAAAAGAATACTAGCTAATTATTGCGATAAGTAATATTTACACCATTGTGTAGGGCAGTGCTCCTCAATCCTCTCCTCAAGGCACAACTGACAGTCCAAGATATAGGGATTACCCAGGTGTGTCTAAGGTGTTTTCTTTTTCTGAACACCTTAGACACACCTGGGTAATACCTAAATCCTGGACTGTTCAGTGTGCCTTGATGAGAGGGTTGAGGAGCACTGGTGTAGGGACCTTTTCTATGAACGGGAGCCCTCCCACTGTGGTTAACATATTTGCCTCCTTTTACCATATTCCTGTCAGACAATGGTTATATTTTATAGGTTCAAAACATCCTGCTACTGGAGTTACCTGTTTTATAAGTAATATTCACTTACGTGTTACTGTATCCTGGGTGATCCAGATCGTGACATATAGCGGACGTCATCAGAATCCCTAATTCGGTCAGGGTCATGTGTTCCTACGTAGAATGAAGTCTTGTTGCATTAGGGCCTTTTATAGTAAATTACATGTTCAGGTGGACGGACAAAGGCATTTCAAATTTAGGCTAAAACAGGCAGAATAATTACAATTCCATTCTCAGATTTCTACACTTAATGGTTTAGTGAATAAACTCCACCGTGATACTAAACTGATTAACTCTTTAAAAACAACGCATTGTAAAAAACACTTAAAGGGCTACTCGGAGATACACTCCAATAATCTCACTGATAAATCCCCTGGGAAATCGTGACTAATTACATTTCTTGTCCAGCCAGGTAGAGAGCTCTGATTGCAACTGGCATGTTCTACTCGGATTATTTTATTGAGCAATAAAGATAATAGCACAGGGTTTTATTTACTAACGTTGAAGGGATCTAACAGTGAAGAGACCTGAAAATCTAATGCACTCAAATAGTGGGTGAAACTATTTTAGCGAGAGCAACCAGCTGATTACCTCATCCTGCCCTACATACCAAATATACATTATATAGATAGAAACATCATCACAATTTAATAATAAATATTAATGATAGAAAATATAAAATAATACATGTTGTAGCCAAAGGCATCTCTTAACCATCCATAAAGAAAGGACACCTCTTTTATCAACGCAGTTCACTGTACTACCCCAAACAGAGCATATTATCCCAAACAGGGAGCATTTCATCAGTGGGTTTTATCTCAAATATAGCATATTATCCCAAACAGGCAGCATTTTACCAAACAGAGCATATTATCCCAAACAGAGAGCATTTTACCAAACAGAGCATATTATTCCAAACAGAGAGCATTTTATCAGAGGGTTTTATCTCAAACATAGCATATTATCCCAAACAGGGAGCATTTTACCAAACAGATCATATTATCCCAAACAGGGAGCATTTTACCAAACAGAACATATTATCCCAAACAGGGAGCATTTTATCAAACCGAGCATATTATCCCAAACAGGGAGCATTTTACCAAACAGAGTATATTATCCCAAATAGGGAGCATTTTAACAGGGGGTTTCATCCCAAGCAGAGCATAGTATCCCAAACACGGAGCAATTTATCAGGGGGTATTATCCCAAAAAGAGCATATTATCCCAAACAGGGAGCATTTTACCAAAAACAGCCTACTATCACAAACAGGGAGCATTGTATCAGAGGGTTTTATCCCTAACATAGCATATTATCCCAAACAGGAAGCATTTTACCTAACAGAACGTATAATCCCACACATAGCATATTATCCTAAACATAGAGAATTTTATCAAATAGAGCTTATTATCCCACAAATTGAGAATTGTATCAAACAAAGCTTATTATGCTGAACATTGAGCATTTTACCAAACAGAGCATATTATCCTAAACTTGGAGAATTTTACCAAATAGCTCATATTATCCCAAATATATAGCCTATGTTTAGGATTCAAGCCACTAATTAGCCAGTTACAGGTATCACCAGTTAAGTCTGCCCCATCCGGTGGATCAGATGTACGATTTGCCTTTAACATAAGACTTTTGTGTTTCTTTACCTGTAGGCTGCAGAGGTGGATAATACCATACATCATCTGTGTCACGCAAAAGCAGTGCCGGAAATTATGGAAAGGATTTGTTCGATAATTCTCCCGGATACACAACTGTCAAAACAAAGCTAATTACCAACAACATCAATACCACATACAGTATATACTCGAGTATAAGTCTAGTTTTTCAGCACATTTTTTTAGCTTAAAAATCCCCACTCGACTTATACTCGAGTCACTGTCTGTATTATGGCAACTTAGAGAGCCGCGGCCGTCAGAGCCATGGCAACGATCCGCGAAGCAACCAGACCGCGAGACTTACAGTGGAGCTGACCTGAACGGAGGAGAAGGGAGCTGACAGGAGCTGCAGGAAAGGTAAGTAAATGCTTCCTGCCGGCCCCCCCACTTCACAGCCCATGCCACTGGACCACCAGGGATTAAGATAGCCCCCCTCCCTGACCAGTTAACAAGCAGGGAGGGGGGACAACATTTTTCTTAAATAATAAAAAAATAATATTAAAAAAAATAAAAATAAAAATAATAAAAATGCCCCCCCCCACCTAGTTCACACACACTACACAAACACACACTCTGCATTATATACACAGAGTGTGTGTATATAATGCAGAGTGTGTGTTTGTATGAGTGTGTGTGTGTGTATATAATGCAGAGTGTGTGTTTGTATGAGTGTGTGTGTATATAATGCAGTTTGTTTGTATGAGTGTGTGTGTATATAATTATAAAAATCACAGAATTTCATAGCCCAAGTTTTACCCTCGACTTATCCACGAGGCATAGCATATTTCACAATTGTTGGTGACAAAACTGCACTCGACTTATACATGAGATCGACTTATACACGAGTATATACGGTATAATATGTGCATTAGTGGGTAGTAGATAATATGAGGCTGTCTGTCTCCTGTGGATTTCCAAAATAATTTTTTTAGCTTTTACGACAACAAAATACAACACGTACTGTATATAGAAAAATGATTAAATGTATAAATATCTATATTATGTCAGTTGTGTTAATATTATGGTTTTAGTTATTATTATATATATATATATATATATATATATATATATATATAGCGCAAGCATATTATGTTTTACAATTATAGAATGTGGACAACTGGCAACAAGTAACTGACAAACAGATTACAACAGAGACAAGAAGTAAAGAAAGCAGAACTCATAATCTATGAACGAGTTTGCAATCTATGAATGTGTTAACAATCCATAAATTTATTTACATTCTATAAACGAGTTTACAATCTATGAACAAGTTTACAATCTATTAAGAATTTTACAGTCTATAAACGAGTTTACAATCTATGAACAAGTTTACAATCTATTAAGAATTTTACAATCTATGAAAGAGTTTACAATCTATGAACAAGTTTACAATTTATAAAATAGTTTACAATCTATGAACAAGTTTACAATCTATAAAATAGTTTACAATCTATGAACAAGTTTACAATCTATTAAGAATTTTACAATCTATGAAAGAGTTTACAATCTATGAACTAGTTTTCAATCTATGAGCGAGTTTACAGTCTATAAACGAGTTTACAAACTATGAATGAGTTTACAATCTTTAACCAAGTTTACAGTCTATGAACAAGTTTACAATCTATGAAAGAGTTTACAATCTATGAACGGGTTTACAATCTATGAATGGGTTTACAATCTATGAACTAGTTTACAATCTATTAAGAATTTTACAATCTATGAACGAGTTTACAATCTATGAAAGAGTTTACAGTCTATAAACGAGTTTACAATCTATGAGCGAGTTTACAATCTATGAATGGGTTTACAATCTTTGAACTAGTTTTCAATCTATGAGCGAGTTTACAGTCTATAAACGAGTTTACAATCTATGAATTAGTTTACAATCTATAACCTAATTTACAGTCTATGAACGAGTTTACAGTCTATGAACGAGTTTACAATCTATGAATGAGTTTACAATCTATGAACGAGTTTACAGTCTATGAACAAGTTTACAATCTATGAACGAGTTTACAATCTATGAACGAGTTTACAGTCTATGAACGAGTTTACAGTCTATAAACGAGTTTACAATCTATAACCTAGTTTACAGTCTATGAACAAGTTTACAGTCTATAAACGAGTTTACAATCTATGAACGCGTTTACAATCTATGAACGAGTTTACAGTCTATAAACGAGTTTACAGTCTATAAACGAGTTTACAATCTATGAATGAGTTTACAATCTATGAACGAGTTTACAGTCTATGAATGGGTTTACAATCTATGAACAAGTTTACAATCTATGAACGAGTTTACAGTCTATGAACGAGTTTACAATCTATGAACAAGTTTACAATCTATGAACGAGTTTACAATCTATGAACAAGTTTAGAGTCTATGAACGAGTTTACAATCTATGAACAAGTTTACAATCTATGAACGAGTTTACAGTCTATGAACGAGTTTACAATCTATGAATGGGTTTACAATCTATGAACAAGTTTACAGTCTATGAATGAGTTTACAGTCTATGAGCGAGTTTACTGTCTATAAATGAGCTTACAGTCTATGAATGAGTTTACAATCTATGAATGAGTTTACAATCTTTGAACTAGTTTACAGTCTATAAATGAGTTTACAATCTATGAATGAGTTTACAATCTTTGAACTAGTTTACAGTCTATGAGCGAGTTTACAGTCTATGAACGAGTTTACAATCTATGAATGGGTTTACAATCTATGAATGGGTTTACAATCTATGAACAAGTTTACAGTCTATGAACGAGTTTACAGTCTATGAACGAGTTTACAATCTATGAATTAGTTTACAATCTATAACCTAATTTACAGTCTATAAACGAGTTTACAGTCTATGAACGAGTTTACAGTCTATGAACGAGTTTACAATCTATGAATGAGTTTACAATCTATGAATGAGTTTACAATCTATGAACGAGTTTACAGTCTATGAACGAGTTTACAATCTATGAACAAGTTTACAATCTATGAACGAGTTTACAATCTATGAACGAGTTTACAGTCTATGAACGAGTTTACAGTCTATAAACGAGTTTACAATCTATAACCTAGTTTACAGTCTATGAACAAGTTTACAGTCTATAAACGAGTTTACAATCTATGAATGAGTTTACAATCTATGAACGCGTTTACAATCTATGAACGAGTTTACAGTCTATGAACGAGTTTACAATCTATGAACGAGTTTACAGTCTATGAACGAGTTTACAGTCTATAAACGAGTTTACAATCTATAACCTAGTTTACAGTCTATGAACAAGTTTACAGTCTATAAACGAGTTTACAATCTATGAACGCGTTTACAATCTATGAACGAGTTTACAGTCTATAAACGAGTTTACAGTCTATAAACGAGTTTACAATCTATGAATGAGTTTACAATCTATGAACGAGTTTACAGTCTATATGGGTTTACAATCTATGAACAAGTTTACAATCTATGAACGAGTTTACAGTCTATGAACGAGTCTTACAGTCTATAAACGAGTTTACAATCTATAACCTAGTTTCTAGTCTGAACAAGTTTACAGTCTATAAACGAAGTTTACACCTATGAATGAGTTTGCGACGCGTTTACAGTCTATGAACGAAGTTTACAGTCTATAAACGAGTTTACAATCTATAACCTAGTTTACAGTCTATGAACAAGTTTACAGTCTATAAACGAGTTTACAATCTATGAATGAGTTTACAATCTATGAACGCGTTTACAATCTATGAACGAGTTTACAGTCTATAAACGAGTTTACAATCTATGAATGAGTTTACAATCTATGAACGAGTTTACAGTCTATGAATGGGTTTACAATCTATGAACAAGTTTACAATCTATGAACGAGTTTACAGTCTATGAACGAGTTTACAATCTATGAACAAGTTTACAATCTATGAACGAGTTTACAATCTATGAACAAGTTTAGAGTCTATGAACGAGTTTACAATCTATGAACAAGTTTACAATCTATGAACGAGTTTACAGTCTATGAACGAGTTTACAATCTATGAATGGGTTTACAATCTATGAACAAGTTTACAGTCTATGAATGAGTTTACAGTCTATGAGCGAGTTTACTGTCTATAAATGAGCTTACAGTCTATAAATGAGCTTACAGTCTATGAACGAGTTTACAATCTATAACCTAGTTTACAGTCTATGAACAAGTTTGCAGTCTATAAACGAGTTTGCAGTCTATGAATGAGTTTACAATCTATGAACGCGTTTACAATCTATGAACGCGTTTACAATCTATGAACGAGTTTACAGTCTATGAATGAGTTTACAATCTATGAATGAGTTTACAATCTATGAATGGGTTTACAATCTATGAACAAGTTTACAGTCTATGAATGAGTTTACAGTCTATGAGCGAGTTTACTGTCTATAAATGAGCTTACAGTCTATAAATGAGCTTACAGTCTATGAATGAGTTTACAATCTATGAATGAGTTTACAATCTTTGAACTAGTTTACAGTCTATAAATGAGTTTACAATCTATGAATGAGTTTACAATCTTTGAACTAGTTTACAGTCTATGAGCGAGTTTACAATCTATGAATGGGTTTACAATCTATGAACAAGTTTACAGTCTATGAACGAGTTTACAGTCTATGAACAAGTTTACAATCTATGAACAAGTTTACAGTCTATGAATGGGTTTACAGTTTATGAACGAGTTTACAGTCTATGAACGAGTTTACAGTCTATGAATGAGTTTACAGTCTATGAGCGAGTTTATAGTCTATGAACAAGTTTACTGTCTATAAATGAGTTTACAATCTATGAATGAGTTTACAATCTTTGAACTAGTTTACAGTCTATGAGCGAGTTTACAATCTAACAATCTAACTGTTATATCGAGTCAGACATCTTCAATGGTTGTTTTTCACATACGTGTATCTATAGGTTTATCGTGTTAAACATGATGTGAAGTCTCATTGAGTCAGGGGTGGGGTTCAGGTTTGAAATCAGCAAAAATCCACAAAGCACCCCAACATTTTTGAGTTTCATCAACCAGCACTGGTAACTTGGTAAAGATTTGCTTTACAATGACTAGTAGATAGATTTACTAATAAAAGGTTTCTAGTAAAGTGTTGATTTCAAACAGATTTACTAGTAAAGATTAGCATTGGATGACTAGTTCACTAAGTAAAGGTTAGCATTGGATGACTACTAGGTAACAGTTAGCATCGGATGACTAGTTACTAGGTAATGGTTAGTATCGGATGACTAGTTCACTAGGTAAAGGTTAGCATCGGATGACTAGTTACTAGGTAAAGGTTAGCATCGGATGACTAGTTACTAGGTAAATGTTAGCATCGGATGACTAGTTACTATGTAACGGTTAGTATCAAATGACTAGTTACTAGGTAAATGTTAGCATCATATGACTAGTTACTAGGCAATGGTTAGTATCAGATGACTAGTTACTAGGTAAAGGTTAGCATCGAATGACTAGTTACTAGGTAATGGTTAGTATCAGATGACTAGTTACTAGGTAAAGGTTAGCATCGGATGACTAGTTACTAGGTAATGGTTAGTATCAGATGACTAGTTACTAGGTAAAGGTTAGCATTGGGTGACTAGTTCACTAGGTAAAGGTTAGCATCGGATGACTAGTTACTAGGTAAATGTTAGCATCAGATGACTAATTACTAGGTAAAGGGTAGCTTTACATGACTAGCAGCTAGAAGTTAATGCTAAAGTGTAAGTCTTATTGTTAATGAATGTAAGAAATGGTTAGATAGCGTTACTGATAGATAGACTAGATGTCCTGTTGGTTTGAGGCTGTTATAAATTAACACTCACCAACCAGCGTTTCAGAGTAATGGGATTCATGTTGAACTCTCGAACCAAACCAAGGTCGTGGTACATGAATTCTAGGCAGCTCAGCATCTGTAACATGGAAACAGAAACAGCTACTTATTTGCAGAACGTTTTGGGTAAAAACAAATGAAATAAAATAACCTCCTTGTGGCAGTGAATATATTTTCTGATTAATTCCCACCAGGATAGAATATCCAGATTGTGCGCCACACAGTGAATGAATTAAATCAGGGCCTTTTGTTCTCCATGTGAACGGTTTCAGGATATTAGCACCCACCTCGTTGTGCTCCCAGTGCCAGACATCAAATGTGGGTTTCTTCAATGCGTCCACCGTCTGAGAGGATAACGTGTACTGCGAAAAGAAACAATATATCTGACATTTAACAGAAAAGGCACCTGGGCACGGGAATTGGGGACCCAGATTAGAACATTGACGTTGATTTAAAGAGATCGAAAAAACCCAGTGCAAAAATACTGACTGAGTTCGGCAGATATTTATATTGAATTTCGTCTGGATTCAATACATCGACTGCTTGGTAAAAATCATCCAATAAAGGTGCTCCATAAGCAAACTAAGCAATGTATTTTTTTTGTTTGTTTTTTGTTTTTTAAATATATCCCTGATCCCTGAAAATAAATAAAGGTCTTTTAGGTCAATATCCAACAAAGTCTCACCTCACTCTCAGCCAAGTCGATCTCTCTCTCTCTCAGACTAGTCTTAGTCTCTCGCTGTCTCAGCCAAGTCTCACCTGTCTCTCTCTCTCTCTTTCTCACTCTCTCAATCTCTCTCTCTCAATCTAGTCTCAGTCCTCTCTCTCAGCCACATCTCACTCTCTTTCTCTCTCTCAGCCAAGTCTCACCTGTCTCTCTGTCTTTCTCACTCTCAGCCAAGTCGATCTCTCTCTCTCAGACTAGTCTTAGTCTCTCGCCGTCTCAGCCAAATCTCACCCCTTTCTCTTAGCCAAGTCTCACCTGTCTCTCTCTCTTTCTCACTCTCAGCCAAGTCAATCTCTCTCTCTCTCAATCTAATCTTAGTCCTCTCTCTCAGCCACATCTCACTCTCTCTCTTTGCCTCAGCCAAGTTTCACCTGTCTCACTCTCTCTTTCTCTCTCTCAGCCAAGTCTCACCTGTCTCACTCTCTCTTTCTCTCTCTCAGCCAAGTCTCACCTGTCTTACTCGCGCTCTCTCTCAGCCAAGTCTCACCTGTCTCACTCTCTCTTTCTCTCTCTCAGCCAAGTCTCACCTGTCTCACTCTCTCTTCTCTCTCTCAGCCAAGTCTCACCTGTCTCACTCTCTCTTTCTCTCTCTCTCTCAGCCAAGTCTCACCTGTCTTACTCGCTCTCTCTCTCAGCCAAGTCTCACCTGTCTCACTCTCTCTTTCTCTCTCTCAGCCAAGTCTCACCTGTCTCACTCTCTCAGCCAAGTCTCACCTGTCTTACTCGCTCTCTCTCTCAGCCAAGTCTCACCTGTCTCACTCTCTCTCTCTCTCTTTTTCTCTCTCAGCCAAATCTCACTTGATTTCTCTTTTATTTTAAAAGTTGCGACGGGACAATATGGATATCTATTTGGCGCTGAAGAAAAGTAATTATTATTATTGGTATTTACATAGCACCAACCTTTTCCGCAACGCTTTATAATATAATAAGAGGGGGAGATATAACAATAAATAAATATTACAAACCAGTGAAGGAATGTAAAGGGGTTAGAGTTGTTTAGAGCTTTATAGGTAATTGACTCATATAGGATACAGGAAGTCAATGTAAGGACTGACAGAGGGGCGAGGTAAGAGAGGAGCAACAGGAGAGAAAGATCAGCCTCGCGGCGGCATTCATTACAAATTGTAGCGGGGCAGTTCGGCTTTTGGGGAGACCAATTAGGAGAGAATTACCAGAGCATGAACAAACTCATTGGCAGCATCTTGCATAAGAAATCAGTGGATGAGGGCAATGTTTTCAAGTTAGAATCTATAAGTTGTAGTAACAGGCTGGTTATGAGGTGCAAATGTGAGGCCAGGATCAAAGATAACATTAAGACAGCGAGCTTGGACAGACTGATGCAGGTATTGTCAACTTGCAGGGAAGGTGAAAGAGGAGGGTCAGAATTATGAGGAGGAAAAATAAGAAGCTCTGTTTTAGAGAGATTGAGTTTCAGAAAGGAATTCTAGTCAGAGGTTGGAGAAAGGCAACCGGAGAAACGTTGTAGGACAGCGGGGAGAGATTGGGGAGGAGAGATATATCTAGATATACATTTTTTTATAACAGGTATTTCGTTTATTATGAGGGTGAATTGGTAGGTAGGTTGTTTTTTTTTAATTGAAGAGTGGGTGGACATTTATTATGGTATTTTATATTGATATATCTTCTATAGTTAATTAGAGCCTGTGAGTTTTTATTGACTAACAGGGATAGTAATTAAACAAGACTGATAACAATGCTTCCAATGTACGTTTACGTTTATCGGATTTATTGGCTACAATTCCAGCTAGTATTAAGTCCAGTCACAATTCATTAGCAAGATCTGCCAAGCGCAATCCATATTTTAGGCGGAGGATTTTCGATATACGTTAAATTGAGGCCATGTCAGTGCTTAGAACAGATAGCTATATACGTGCAGATTTACCTTGGGAAACGTTGGAATCTGTCTCTCCGGGGTCAGTTTGATTATATCCTCCAAGTAGTAATAATTACATGCACAGTTCAACCTGTAGACAAGCAGCGATTTATACGAATGTTGCTTTATTTACTAATTATTAGTAAAAATAAAAAAGATCCACCATCACTTGAGAGTTAATTTAGTAAATAAGATACAGCTATGCAGTCTATATTATTTTTAGTTTACACTCATTTATAAAGGTAACGTGTAGTTTATTCAGTGTAAATGTGTATACACCAGCAGAGGGAGTAACGTGTCCCACCACTCAGCAGAGGGGGTATACCGTGTCCCACCACTCAGCAGAGGGGATATAACGTGTCCCACCACCCAGCAGAGGGGGTATAACGTGTCCCATCGCCCAGCAGAGGGGGTATAACGTGTCCCATCGCCCAGCAGAGGGGGTATACCGTGTCCCACCACCCAGCAGAGGGGGTATAACGTGTCCCACCACCCAGCAGAGGGGGTATACCGTGTTCCACCATCCAGCAGATGGGGTTATAACACATCCCACCACCCAGCAGAGGGGGTATAACGTGTCCCATCGCCCAGCAGAGGGGATATAATGTGTCCCACCACCCAGCAGAGGGGATAAATGTGTCCCACCACCCAGCAGAGGGGGTATACCGTGTCCCACCACCCAGCAGAGGGGTATAACGTGTCCCATTGCCCAGCAGAGGGGATATAATGTGTCCCACCACCCAGCAGAGGGGATAAACGTGTCCCACCACCCAGCAGAGGGGGTATACCGTGTCCCACCACCCAGCAGAGGGGGTATACCATGTCCCACCACCCAGCAGAGGGGTATAACGTGTCCCATCGCCCAGCAGAGGGGATATAATGTGTCCCACCACCCAGCAGAGGGGGTATACCGTGTCCCACCACCCAGCAGAGGGGGTATACCGTGTCCCACCACCCAGCAGAGGGGATATAATGTGTCCCACCACCCAGCAGAGGGGATAAACGTGTCCCACCACCCAGCAGAGGGGGTATAACGTGTCCCACCACCCAGCAGAGGGGTATAAAGTGTCACCACCCAGCAGTGGGGGTATAACGTGTCCCACCATCCAGCAGATGGGGTATAACATGTCACCACCCAGCAGAGGGGGTATAACATGTCTCACCACCCAGCAGAGGGGGTATAACGCGTCCCACCACCCAGTAGAGGGGGTATAACGCATCCCACCACCCAGCAGATGGGGTATAACATGTCACCACCCAGCAGAGGGGGTATAACATGTCTCACCACCCAGTAGAGGGGGTATAACGCGTCCCACCACCCAGAAGAGGGGGTATAACACGTCCCACCACCCAGCAGAGGGGGTATACCGTGTCCCACCACCCAGCAGAGGGGGTATACCGTGTCCCACCACCCAGCAGAGGGGTATAACGTGTCACCACCCAGCAGTGGGGGTATAACGTGTCCCACCATCCAGCAGAGGGGTTATAACACACCCCACCACCCAGCAGAGGGGGTATAACGTGTCCCACCATCCAGCAGATGGGGTATAACATGTCACCACCCAGCAGAGGGGGTATAACATGTCTCACCACCCAGCAGAGGGGGTATAACGCGTCCCACCACCCAGTAGAGGGGGTATAACGCATCCCACCACCCAGCAGAGGTGGTGTAACGCGTCCCACCACCAAGCAGAGGGGGTGTAACGTGTCTCACCACCCAAAGAGGGGTATAACGTGTCCCACCACCCAGCACAGGGGGTATAAAGTGTCCCACCACCAAGCAGAGGGGGTATAACGTGTCTCACCACCCAGCAGAGGGGGTGCAATGTGTCCCACTACCCAGCACAGGGGGTATAACGTGTCCCACCACCCAGCAAAGGGGGTATAATGTGTCCCAAGCAATGCCACACAGCGCTTGGTGATTATTGCTCAGAATTATTGCTTTATGCTAATTTGATTGATTCTGACCCTTTATTCTTCTTTTCCATTTCTTCTCGAAGTTTTTTTACATCATTTCTGCATTTGTCAATATCCAGGAATTTCAAACCATCAGCTACAAGATAAGAGGGAGATTTGACAAAAAAGTCAGTACAAATCTATTTTAATCTTTTTAATTTTATGAGGAATAAACATCACTAAAACAGTTACCCCGATAAAACGTTAAACATTATGTACTGCACGATCGCAGAATAATTAATATAACTACACCTCGTGATGAATACTACATCACATCTGTTGTGTTTCACATTTTCAGCTCCTTGTGGGAGTGTCCGAATCCAATGAAGGAACTGGAGGGGCAGTTTCTGTATTACTCCAAATCACTCTGTCCCTCTTTTTTCTCCATAGGAGCTCTATAATGTTGGTGTGGCTGTGTATATAACAGAGCTCCACATCAATAATACTCCCAGTAATGTGTCTGAGTGTATAACAGAGCTCCACAGTAATAATACTCCCAGTAATGTGTCTGAGTGGATAACAGAGTTGCACAGCAATAATACTCCCAGTAATGTGTCTGAGTGTATAACAGAGCTCCACAGCAATAATACTCCCAGTAATGTGTATATACACACAGACACACACACACACACACACACACTACAGCACCACTACACACATTATGCTCCAGATACACATTAGATCCCTTACCCTATATACACTCTGAATCCTCTACACAGACACAATCTCCTATACACACTCTGGGTCAGTGGGTCCTTTACACACTAGATCCCCTACACACACTACATTCCAGACATACAAACTCTGGATCCCCTATGCACACACTACATTCCTTGTAAGCAAACACATACAACATTCTTTAAACACACACTACGTCACCTATACACATACACACACACACTACAGCCCCTATGCACTCACTCGCTACATCCCCTATACACACACTCTCTACAGTCCCTAGCCACACATATTACACCACAAACACGAATGAAATCGACCTATTTACACGACACCACACCACAATCAGCTCACTCTACACACACGCAATCCCACAGGCAGACTCCAAACACACGAACCATACACTTTCCTGGCCCTTTTGTCCTCTGGTATCCCACTAATGGAGACACCAGAGACAATTTAAAAGCAAACACAGCGCAAGCATGTTATTAAATTTGCAGGGCCTTTTTCTAATGCTAGAGCTCTTCAGCGGGGCTCTGCGCATTGAACCACCATGCTCAATTTGAGAGGGGGTGTGCTTGTCATTAGTGATGACAAAACACACCCTCTCTGGCCCCCTTCTTATGGGGCCACTGTGAATGAAAAATTCCCACGCCAATTTTTTTCCCCAGTCTGGCCCTGTGCAGCGCTGTACAACCTAGAATTTTTTTTGACTTGGGATGCTTTGGAGAAATACTGAAATATTAAGGGTGCCTTGAACCTAAAAAGTTTGGGAACCACTGGTTTAGAGAGTTTCCCGTCCTGCAAAATATGAGGTGTATTTACTAAACAGTGATTGGTGGTGAATTGCAAAATGTAGTCGAAAATAGAAGAGATGTACATTGTAAAACTTGTTTTTCACCTCTAATGACATCCAATAAAACAGCTGCTTTCTATAAATCTGAATGCGTTCATATAAACAATTAATCTTACTTTCTATCCTGGACTCCAGGATTGTCAGACGGTCCATCACTTCTCTCTTTAATTCACTGAACTGAAAGGCTCTGGGGGGGGAAGAAATTCATTAATGAGTTTACACCTTTATCATAGTACGCAGAGACACAGATCAACAAAAACACAGAACCAATCACTTTGCTGTCCTCGAGTCACAGGTCCACGTTCTGCAACACAAATATTGATTGGGAAGAATTTGATGGATGTAACATTCTCAGTGGCGTCGCTAGGGGGGGCCAGAGGGGGCCATGGCCCCCCTACATCATGCTGTGCCCCCCCTTGGGCCCCCCCAAATGCCGGCAACTTGCTGGCCATGGGCTTCCCTCGGACTGTAACAGCCTGTGACAGCCGGGGAGGGAATGCAGTGCTGAGCTGCTGGAGGCTGTCTGTGGCCAGAGGGAGCACTGATTGGCTCCCCAGCACAGGCCCCGCCTCCCGCCGATAAGCCCCGCCCCCGCCGTAATGTAGCAGCCCATGCTGCTGCAGAAGATGGCTGCCTGACTCCCAGCAACATCCTCCACTGACAGGTAGGCTTTCCTGAAATATATTAATCAGAAAAATGTATAGCACAGAGAAGGTTTACCAACATACTAAAACGAGCGGTCAGACAGACAGAGACATATAGACAGAGACATGTAGATAGACAGACAGAGAGACAGATAACAGACATGTTTGTGTGTGTCTATCATAGATGCAAAATATCATACACATAGTATATCTACAAATGGTCAAATAATATCTTCTTTGTTAAATACAGGATTCATCACCTGAATGACGGGAAACAGGCTGAGAGTGGACTTGATACGGTGATCTGAAATTAGCCAATTTAACACAAAATTAATTACTTCATATTCTGTCGGTCTGTCTGTCTTTCATCTGTCTGGCTATGTATGTGTCTGTCTGTCGGCCTGTCTGCCTGTCAGTCAGTCTGCCTGTCAGTCAGTCTGTCTGTCAGTATGTCTGTCTGTCAGTCGGTCCTGGTCATTCTATCGCTCCCTTGTCCAGTAACTGCTGTTACCTCTTGCAGTTGGTGGGAATGCTCGTGTCGATAGCCATATAAGTACCGTGTTGATCAACGAGCATTATAGTCGTTTGCCTAACAATAGAAAATTCTGTTTAGTTTGTATCAGTAAAGGTTTAAATTCTCCAGCATTGGTCGCTTGTATATTAAAATTCCGAGAACCAGCTAGTTATTTATGAGCTGTTTAACTTAATGGAGTAACAGCTGTATATTTACAACCCTACCTCTCCCCCCCCCCCAAAAAAAAACATAAGGAAATTATGAACCTAGTATACACTGCTACATAGACGTCTTGCACCATATTCATTACAATGAGCTATAGTAATACAATAAGCTGTAATGATACAGTGACATTTAATTATACAATATCCTATAATAATACACTGAGCTGTAATAATACAATATTCTGTAATAATACACTGACCTGTAATAATACAATATTCTGTAATAATACACTGAGCTGTAATAATACAATATTCTGTAATAATACACTGAGCTGTAATACAATAAGCTATAATACAATATCCTGTAATAATACATTGAGCTCTACTGATATAATCAGCTGTAATAATACAATAAGCTGTAACGATACGCTGAGCTGTAACAATACAATGAGCAGTAACGATACAATGAGCTGTAATAATACAGTAATCTATAATACAATGAGCTGTAATAATACAATGAGCTGTAACGATACAATAAGATGTAATAATACAGTAATCTATAATAATACAATGAGCTGTAATAATACAATGAGCTGTAATGATGCACTGAGCTATAATACAATGAGCTATTATTTTTGTGGACTGAGCCCTAATAATATAAATCTTTTTGTTTTTAGTAAATGGTAAATTATTGATTACAGTAGAATGAGATGTTTCTTTTTGGATCTCTATAAGTAAATGTGTAATTCAGATTAATACACAGAGTATAAAATATAAACATTTTGCTTAAAATTAATTAGGAATTATTGCACCAGTAATCATTTGATGTGTATTGTTGTTTAATTACCATGGTAATCCAGCACACGCGCAGAGAATCTCCTTGATCTCGCTGGAGCTGCTTTGGCGGCTAATAATCACCTGCAAGAAAAAGCACTGATGGAGTCAGGACCAGCCGTGGTCCAGTCATATTTTATCTCCAATACTAGCCTTAGTCGCCCATGGCCATTGTTTACCTCCTGGGGGGGAGAAGGGGGGATTTACCTACTGGGGGGTGAGAAGGGGGGGATTTACCTCCCATTTACCTCCTGGACTAGCCCCCCGTGCTCTTGGTCACTGTTTATCTCCTGGACTAGCCCTGTTTAAATTGGCCACTGTTTATATTCAGGACTAGCCCCAAATGCTCTTGGCTGCTATTTATCTTCTGGACCAGCCCTCGGTGTCCCCTGACCACTGTATTTCCTGGACTAGTCTTCGTGCCCATTGGCCACTGTTTATCTCCAGGACTAGCCCCCATTGCCCTTGGTCACTGTTTATCTTTTTGGACTAGCCCCGTTGGTCTCTTGGACCAGACTCATTAATCTCCTGGACTAGCCCTGGTGCCCTTGGTCACTGCTTTTCTAGTAGACTAACACATGTGGACAGAGCCCTTGGCCTCTGTTTATCTGTCCTTGGCTGCTGTATATCTCTTGGACTAGCCCTGCTGCCCAATGTTATTGTCTATCTCCTGGACTTGCCCTGTTGCCATTGGTCACTACTTATTTTGTGGACTAGCACCGTGTCCCTTGGCCTCTGTTTGTCTGCCCTAGGCTGCTGTATATCTCCTGGACTTGTCCTGTTGCCCTTGGCTGCTGTATTTCTCCTGGACTAACCCCGTAGCCCTTGTATAACAAAAGAGCACAAAATAAGGTGTGGCCTCTGTTTATCTGCCCTTGGCTGCTGTATATCTCTTGGACTAGCCCCGGTGCCCAATGTTATTGTCTATCTCCTGGACTAGCCCTGTTGCCCTTGGTCACTGCTTATTTTGTGGACTAGCACCGTGTCCCTTGGCCTCTGTTTGTCTGCCCTTTGCTGCTGTATATCTCCTGGACTTGTCCTGTTGCCCTTGGCTGCTGTATATCTCCTGGACTTGTCCTGTTGCCCTTGGCTGCTGTATATCTCCTGGACTAACCCTGTTGCCTTTGTATAACAAAATATCACAAAATAAGGTGTTTTTAGGTGAAGAAAGTGCACGAATCAGATAACACTCTCCTTAAATAAAGTGCAAAAGTATATTTATTGGGAGACTCAAACTTCCCTTTAGCAATGGAGTCACCCGAAGATCTCCTCAAATCTTCAATCAAATACAAGTGCAATATATGGGGTTAATCCAGTTAGGGAAAATAAGAACAGCACAACATAGTGCAAAACTGTACAATAAAGTGACGGTGTATATTAAGTACCAATTGGCCACTCACACTTTGGAGCCAAATAAAGAGCCTTCAGAAAATAGTTGGTATCATTCTTCTCAGTTCTTGAACTTTATTGATGTCAGTCTTGTATTGGGGCATATATGGCTGCCTCTCACACTGAGCGCTTTTAACTCAATTTCTTTTCTGTGCTTTAAAATCAGGCTTTAATGATCAACCTGTCCCACAGTATGAGTGAACTAAGGGGCACGGTCGGAGCTTCAGTGGATGGATCTCTCAAGCCGCGAGATATTTTATCGTTGATGTGAAATAAAGGATTGTAGAAACATTTATCCTGTTAAGTGATTTACTCACTCAAACACTCATGCAGTGGAACAGGTTGAATGTCCCCAGCCCAGGTCATTAAAGCCTGATTTTAAAGCACAGAAAAAAAATTGAGTTAAAAGCGCTCAGTGTGAGCCCCAATACAAGACTGACATCAATAAAGTTCAAGAACTGAGAAGAATGATACCAACTATTTTCTGAAGGCTCTTTATTTGGCTCCAAAGTGTGAGTGACCAATTGGCACTTAATTTACACCCTCAGTTTATTGTACAGTTTTGACCGTTGCCCTTCGCCTCTGTTTATCTGCTCTTGGTTGCTGTATGTCTCCTTTACTAGCCCCAGTGCTATCCCAGTTGTTGTTGATCTCCTGGACTAGTCCTCGTTTCACCCTGACCACTGTGTATGTCCTGGACTATACCCCGTTGCCCTTGGCCGCTGTTTATCTCCTGGACTAGCCCCCTTGGCTGCTATTTATCTCCTGGACTAGCCCCCGTTACCCTTGGCTGCTATTTATCTCCTGGACTAGCCCCCGTTACCCTTGGCTGCTATTTATCTCCTGGACTAGCCCCCGTTACCCTTGGCTGCTATTTATCTCCTGGACTAGCCCCTGTTACCCTTGGCTGCTATTTATCTCCTGGACTAGCCCCCCATTGTTACCCTTGGCCCCCGTAGGCCCTTGGCTTATCTCCTGGACTAGCCCTCGGTTCACTGCATTAAGGGACTCTCAGATTCCCTCCCATTAGGCAGAGCTCTTAACCTCACTCAGTGAGCTGAAACCAGAGAAATGTGACCTCTTATATGAATGTGAAGTCTGTTACTATCACAGTATGGAGGGGTAATAGAGGGTGATTTACTAAACTGTGAATTATCAGGGACTCACTAGGGCTTTACAAACTCAAGGCTAAAATACTTGACCTGGAAACAGCTGAGTTTAACATCAATTTGTCCACATTTTGTAGTTCCTGGTCAATCCCAGACCATCTTCAATTTCGGGAAAAACCTTTAAACCGCGGACATTTTTTTAAAACACTTTGTAACTTTGTATTGTGTAAATGTTTCTCTTTCAGCTGATGGTAGGTTTCTTTGTCCACTTACCTTCTGAACTTTCCCGTCCACTTCCAAAAATATCGTCTTCTGGCTGCTACTTGATGCTCCGGATCCCATCGCTCTCAGCGTATTTCGATTCTCAGGATCTGTAAATTAGCGGAACTCTGCCGTCTTTACAAAGATACAGAGAGCGTCTGCTGAATCTCTGTGTTACAGCTGTTTTACACCTTTTGATCCTTTGTTACGATGCTCTCTGTCAGCACTAGCTGAATGGAAAGTAAGATCAAGGTGTGATTATATTCGCAGATCGAGCCCCCGGACACGTTGTCATGACAGTATGCACAGCGTATTCTCCTGACAGCAGCCTCCGGGGACTTTTATGGCCAGAAACATATTTACTATGAAAGCAACTAAGCCCGGGGCAGCAGAACGAAGAGGTCACAACTACACGGCATTTACTTAAACTCGTTAAATTAGTTTTTCTTGCTTTAATGTGATTCGCTCCTTCTCTATTTGCCAGCAGTATCTGAAAAACGAGATGGAACAAGGTGCTTAAATGTATACACAATACGCACATAATTTGACAACATTACACACTCAGTCATCAACGTGACTTCACACCGACACACACGTAGAATGATTACACATATCTGTACGTTAAATACTGCTGTACTGGGGTTATAGTTCCAGGAGTGTCCTGGTTCCATTTTACATGGTCTGACAACTTACCTGTGTCCCCCAGGAGCAGCATTGCATGCAGTCTGATCCAGCAGGAGTCCTCGAATGTCACCACAGGGTAAAACCCGGCCAATGCGGACGTTCTCAGTCAGTGCATGCACTTCTGAATGGCCCTGGCTTACTCTGTAGAATTAACTGGATTCTCCTAAATGAGAAAACTGGGAGCAGAGTTTGTCACCATTCACAAAATATGGGAACCAGGTAAGTTGTCAAACTGTCCTAAAAATAGACTGATTTATCTCACGATGGCATTTTGAGTCAGATTAACATTGGGCTAAGGGATTGGCGACCAAAATGTAAATGTTCAATTGTTTTTCCAGTCTCCACTCTCAATGTATGGTGTTTAATATTCATTGCTCCCTTTACGCTGCGCAGCAGGCCCGGACTGGTCACAGGACATCCCCTGCCGGCCCCTGCAGGGCCGGCACTATCCGAGCGCCGGCCCCGCTGTTTGCCATGGAGGGCCGGTGGGGAGATCAAAGCTCTCCCTCACCGGCCCATTTAAATAGACCTGCGGCTCGGGAGGGAGGGAGAGGACACGGCGGAGCGCTATCTTGCAGCTCCGCCGGGTTCCTCTCGCGAGATCCAGCGCGTTGCCATGGCAACGACCAGATATCGTGAGTGTGAACTCTAGCCTACAGGCTAGAGTTCACTAACCACTGGACCACCAGGGATGATGAGTGCTGCCCCCCCCCCTCCTCCCAGATACCATCGTGCCGGACCTCTCCCAGGCTAAAGGTAAGGAGGGGGGGGATATATAATGCATTTTTGTTGTTGGTTTTTTTACCCTCCCAACACACAATCACTTTTAACATTCACACACAGCAGTCTCACACACACATCACCCTCAGCACTATCACACTCAGCACTATCACACACAGCACCCTCACACACATCACACTCAGCAGTCTCACACATAGCACCCTCACACACATCACACTCAGCAGTCTCACACACATCACATCACACTCAGCACTCACACATATCACACTCAGCACCCTCACACACATCACACTTACCACTATCACACACGGCACCCTCACACACATCACACTTAGCACCCTCACACACAGCACTCTCACACTCATCACACTCAGCACCGTCACACAAATCACACACAGCACCCACACACACAAAGCACACACCTCACACACAGCACCCACACACACAGCACCCTCACACACAGCACCCTCACACACAGCACCCTCACACACTGCACCCTCACACACTGCACCCTTAAACACAGCACCCTTAAACACATCATACACAACATCATCACACACAGCACCCCTCAAACACAGCATCCATTACACACACATACTGCACCCTTCACATACACACTACACCCCTCACAGACACCAACTGCACACCTCACACATACACACAGAACTCCAACACACTGCACTAAACACACACACACATACAATACTTCCAAACATATATATATATATATATATATATATATACACATATACACACACACCACAGCACCCTTCACACACACTGAACCCCTCACACACACATACTGCACCCCTAAACATATTACATTCCAGACACACTATCCCTTACCCAACTATGGATCATATACACACACTAAATCCCCATATACACTCTGATTCTGTTATATACACACACTCACTAGATCTCATACACATTCTGGGTCCTTCAAACACACACTAGACTCCTGTACACACACACACACACACACACTGCACCACCTACACACACTACATTCCTAACATACACACTGTGGATCCCTTATACACACACTAGATTCCTTGTAAACAAACACATGCTACACCCCTAAACGCACACTCTCTACAACCCCTACAAACACTACATCACCTATATACACGCACACACTATAGCCTGTGTGCACACATTTACTACATCCCCTATACACACACACATTCTCTTCAGCTCCTAGCCACATATGCATTACATTACACCACAAACACAACACGACTAAAACCGACCTTATTACACAATACCACACCACGACCAGCTCACTCTGCACACACACAATCCCACAAGCAGGCTCCAAACACATGCACAATACTCTTTCCTGGCCCTTTCGTCTCCTGGTATCCATTTATAGAGACACCAGAGACAAGTTTCAAGGAAACACAGTGCAAGCATGTTATTAAATTTGCTTGCACTGTGCAGAACAAATACAGGTTTGTTTTTTTCTCATGCTAGAGCTCTTTAGCAGAGCTCTGCCCTGGAAGAGCATTGACCCAACGCTCACTTTGAGAGGGGGCGTGTTTGTCTTTGGTGATGACGAAACACACCCTCTCTGCCCCGCCCCCTTCTTAGTGGGCTGCTGTGCTAAAAAAATGCCCGGGCTGAATTTTTCTCCCAGTCCGGCCCTGCTGCGCAGTACACAGATGGTGACGTGTGCAGTACCGGGTTTCCAGTTACGTAATCGCAATCACACAGGACAGAGGTCAGGGTCTGCATCAGTCATCGTTAATTTTTCCATAACTGCTATCAATAACATTCCACCATTTCCTTTTTACGCACATAAAACACTAAATTCAGCACGGATGCCACAGGGCACCAAAACCACTACAGCTAGATGATAAAGGGTATATGGGGTTGGAACACTGACTTGCCAGAGCAGAGTATAGCAATAAACGGAATCAGATGACAGACTATGGCGCTGCCCAGTGCAGTCAATATCGCTGATCAGACGGATTATAATCCTCTATTCCCATTCACAAACGATTTTCTCACAAACTAAGAATTTGTAGCCAAGTGGAATTCATTTCCACAACAATCAACCTGCAGCCGTGCCAGTTATGTATATATTTGGGTCTTGTCAACTGATGGTTGGGTGGTATACAATTCTGTTAAAAGAGCAGCAGTCTCCAAAGAGAAATGGAGTCTCACCATGTCTCTTACCATTTATACCTGTAGTTTATCGCTATAATATTCTGTATATGGAGTTTGTTATTTTCAGTGAATGTGTTCCACCAATATTCCATCTACACACAGTTATTAATATTTGGGGGATTGAAAAGTTAATCTGATTCTATTGTATCCAACACGTGTGCTCTCCCCACCCCTCACACTCTCCATCCTGTGCTCCTCCTGGCTGTAAATATCTTTATATAACGGTCTTATCTCCATCCCTGTTCCTTAGGTCTCACGTCACAAACCCCCGAAAAATGCAATATTGAGAATCCCCATTTTTTCTAAGTATTTACCACCTAGGTTCCTGCTAAATGTATAGCATGCCCCTCCACCTGCTTGAGATCTTAGTTAATTACCTCCTCGTTCCCTTTACATTTTACCAGTAGCTTTTACTCTTGATTAATTTCCTCTGGTCATCACTTCCAGATCCCCCCTGCTACCTCTTGTGTCAGATCCCTATTATATCCTTCAGATCAGGGGTTCCAAACCCAGTCCTCAAGTACACCCTACCGTCCAGGATGTAGAGAGTACCCCTTACCCGTCCAGGATGTAGGGATTATATACCTAACAGTCCAAGATGTAGCGATTACCCCCTATTAGTTCAGGATTTAGGGATTACCCAGTAACAGTCCAGGATTTACGGATTATCCAGTAACAGTCCAGGATTTAGTGATTACCCCCCTATTAGTCTAGGATTTAGGGATTACCCCATAACAGTCCAGGATTTAGGGATTACCCCCCTATTAGTCCAGGATTTAGGGATTACGACATAACAGTCCAGGATTACCCCATAACAATCCAGGGCTTAGGGATTACCCCCTATTAGTCCAGGATTTAGGGATTACCCCATAACAGTCCAGGGTTTTGGAATTACCCCGTAACAGTCCAGGGTTTTGGAATTACCCCGTAACAGTCCAGGGTTTAGGAATTACCCTGTAACAGTCCAGGGTTTAGGGATTACCCAGTCGTGTTTTTAGGAAGAAGAAGAAGAAGAAAAAAACACTTTAGACACAACAGGGTAACCCCTAAATCCTGGACTGGTAGGGGGTACTTGAGAAATTAGTTGGGAACCCCTGCTTTAGATTGTAAACTCAGGCCGTCTAAGCACTTTGTATAAAAGAGCTTCAATAGCTAGATCTCAGCTCACGGGCCTGGATCTCTTTATATTTTGTACTGGTCTCATACATTCTCTCCTAATTGTACAGAATCTGTTGGAGCAGGTTTATTTTGATTGCTCCACTTTTAGAATTTTTCTTTGCAATCAGTCTGTTTAAATAGGCCCGCCTCCCCACAGGGACCTCACTGTAGTGAAGCATAAACATGAACAAGGTTTACAGAATGAAGTGGTGGTTGCCCCTTATCTTTCCCAACATAAATTTTCCACTAGAAATGGGTATTCTTTGTAGAGATCTGGTAACGGAAATATGCGTTTTCATATTTTTTATATCAATGTTCATTCTGCTCCATGGTTTGCAGATTTGAAATTTTTCCCCTTTTTTATATAATGTTTAATAGTTTTGGAATGTTGGGATAAAAGTCAGAGATTTATTGAAATCTTAACACGAGCACTGCAGTCCTGTCAATGTCGTACAATTTATTTCTTTTCATAGTTAGTGCATTAACTAAAAGCAGCAGAGGAACAAATTCCCAGAGGGACCTGGAGTGAGTCTAACCGAATGTGATAATTGGGGGACAGAAATAGAATCGTAGAAACACAGATTAATACACAAGACTAATAATACTGCTCTGCACTGCCTGTTAGCATCACAGCTCAGCCCTTCCATTTCAGAACTAAAGCAATGGAGGTTGCAGGTTACCGTTAACATGACCACGGATTACCAGGTAAGTGCAGGTAGGATGCCCTGTCAACTAAAACAACAACTGAAGCTAAATATGAGTAGCTGTTTTATTTTCGTTTTTTTTCCCCTTTTAGATTTTTCTCTATTTGTGCTATAATACGCAAAGCAACGTTTCCAAACCTCATCCACCAAAAAGTCCATGAAAAACAAGAACAAAAAAAACGCATTCACTAAAAACGCCCAGTCCAAAACCTTGTCCATTACAACACCCAGTCCAAAACCTCATCTGCTAAAATGCCCAGTCCATAACCTCGTCCATTAAAACGTCCAGTCCAAAACCTCATCCATTAAAGCGGCACTGTCATGCCGAACTTACCTTTCCTCAATCTCTTCCTCTTCTCCCCCTCTCTCAGGATCTGTTATTCTTTTCTTCCTGTCTTCTTTAGTTTTCTTTAAAATCATAAGACAAAGTAGGGACTCTTTGCCTTATGGAAGATTCCTCCGCTTGACCAGCGGAGGAGCAAAGTGTGCTTCATTTCCGTTGGTCAGAGCAATTTTCCCATGATCCCTAGCTTTCCTCAGGGTTCCCACGATGCTTCCTGTCACTTTACACTAAACTGCCGAATTGCGTTCTAACTGAATGACAACAGTCTGTTCGTTTCTTTTAGAACGCAATTCGGCACTTTATTCGGATCAGAATTTCATTCTAATGAATGAAATTCTGATCCTATTCATTGCTGTGGCTGCATCTTGCAGCCGTTTAGTAGATAACTCCCTAATTCCCACGGTATAATGGAGCTATCTACTAAAAGGCTGAAAGACCTAAATTGGTCTTTCAGCCAAATTTACTAATACTAAGTAAAGATTACTTAGTATTAGTAACTTAAATGCCCCTACTCGCTATACCGCGAGTAGGGGCATGTGTAGTAAGCAGTGAGCAGCGTATAGCTGCTCACTGTAAAAAAACAAACAAAAAACTAATAACCCCCCACTCCCCCCATGCCCGTGGGGGCCCTAAAACCTGGCCCCCACCCCTGCGCGGTGGGTGGGGGCCCTAATA